GTTGGAGTGGAGAGATGAGAGACTATGAAATGGAGAAAAACAGAAAGGGAAGATGAGGAAAAGAAAAGAATGAATAAATAAAAATCAGAAAGGTTAGAGAACTGCAAAGTTCCCAGGGATCCCACCGGTGCAGCTATGAGGTCTGGGGAATCCACTCTCAGGTGTTGCAGTACAGCCTGGCTAGAAGGCGTAGAGGTATATAACGCCAAGTATTCAGGGAACAGAAAGAGAAGGAAGACAGAGAGAGCCAAGAAACTGAGCAATGAAGAAAGACAAAAAGGGAAAAAGAGGAAAAAGAAAACAAACAAATTAAAAAAAAAAAGAACAAGAAAGGCCCCCAAAAAAACAGAAAAAAAAAAAAAAAACCAACGATAAAAGAAATGCTCTCAGGGATCCCTCTGCACGTCTGTGCAAGCCGAAGCGGAGTCTCCTTGCCACGCAGCTCCGCCTGGCCAGAAAGGGCTCCCAACTCAAGAAACAGAAAAGAAAACAAACAAACAATTCAAAACAAACAAACGAACAAAAGCCCCGGGATCCTACCAGCGCGGTAGCCCAGACCGGGAAGCAGCTCCACACTCGAATGGAGCTCCGCAGCCCCTCAGGAAGAAGCAAAGATGGCGCATGGAGCCAGGTGCTCGAGTGAAAGGAGGAGGAGGTGGCGAGAGGCAAGTAAGAAATCAAAAGAAGCAGGATAAAAAAAAAAAAAGCAACACTAGAAGCCAACAAATTGTACTCAGAGAATCAGCTAGCACGGGCTGGTGTTTCTGGAGAAGTGACTGTGTCCGTGGGAAGCAGAGGGAGCCGAGTGTGGGTGAAGAAGGGTAGAGAGTGGGAAAGTGTATATCACAAATTACTGGCGCTCTGCAGCCCCTCAGGAAGAAGCAAAGATGGCGCACGGAGCCAGGTACTCGAGCGAAAGGAGGGGGAGGTGGCGAGAGGGAAGTAAGAAATCAAAAGAAGCAGAAAAAAAAAAGCAACACTAGCAGGCAACAAATGGCACTCAGAGAGCCAGCCTGTGTGGGCTGGTGTTTCTGGACAAGAGACTGTGTCCACGGGAAGCAGAGGGGACCGAGTGTGGATGAAGAAGTGTAGAGAGTGGGAAAGCGTAAGAGTGGGAAAGCGTATATCACAAATTACCGGGGCTCTGCAGCCCCTCAGGAAGAAGCAAAGATGGCACACGGAGTGAGGTACTCGAGTGAAAAGAGGGGGAGGTGGCAAGAGGCAAGGAAGAAATCAAAAGAAGTGGAAAAAAGCAACACCAGCAGCCAACAAATGGCACTCAGAGAGCTGCCCGTTCGGGTGTGTGGAATCCAAGCAGCCAGTGTTTCCTGGTCAAGAGATTGTGGCCGCAGGAAGCAGAGGAGGCCAAGTCAGGGTGAAGAGGGATGGGGGGTGGGAAAGCGTATATCGCAAATTACTTGTTGTTTTGTCTCCCGCTGGACGCTCCGAGAGGCTACTTTCTCGTACCCCGTTTGCTGGTCTCCAATAGGAGTCCAAGATGGCGGATCCGCGCTGCATTAGCTGGTAGGGGACCTCTGCATGAATCTCTCCTTGCTCTCCGTTCTCTGTCAGCTTTCTCACTCCATTTGGTGCTTGGCTGAGTTCTTTATCTCTTCATTTCATGTTTTAGGGTTTCAGGATTGTTGTATTCTCTGTTCGGCTTAGTTTTTCGAATCTTTGCTGTGGAGGGATGGCATGGTGCTTCTGCCTACAACGCCATTTTGCCGGAACGCTTGATTTTTTTTTTTTTTTTGAGGGAAAAAAAGGCTTTCCAAGGAGGAATCTCTAATCCTTACATTTAGGGGAACTGACAATCAGATCAGTAGAGTTAACCATCTTTAGTTTTTAATGGTTTGACTAAGATTGCCTAGATGTGGTTTTCTTTGTTTTTATACTGCTTGGGGTTTGTTAAGCTTTCTGAATTTGTGGGTTAATGTCTTTCATCAGTTTGGAAAATTCTTGGACATTTATCTCTTCAGATATTGCTTCTGTCCCAATCTTTCTTGCCTCATTTTCTGAGAATCCAGTTGCATGTGTCAGACCTTTTGGCTATATCCCACATGTCTTTCTTGCTGTTCTTTCCATTATATTTTCTCTCCATGCTTCAGCTTGGATATTTTTAATGAGCTGTCTTTGAGTTTACTAATCTTGTCTTCCATGTGTACAATCTGCTTTAAACCCATCCAATGAGTTCTTAATTTCAGATGTATTTTCAGTTCTAGAATGTCCATTTGATTCTTTTTATAGTTTCCAGTTCTCTGTTGAAATTTTTCCTCTTTTCATATATTTTGTCTAATTTTTCCTCTATTTTCTTAAAATATTATTTTAGTTATTTTAAAGTTTTTGTATGCTAACTCTAATACTTGGATTATCTGTGGATCTGCTCACATTGTTTATTTTTTTCTCTATTATTGGCCACATTTTCCTGCCTCTTTGCATTGTCTAGTGCTTTTTGATTCTATGCCAGACATGGTGTATAAAAGAACCAAGGAGGGCTCCTTCTTTCCTTTGTTAGGTAGATATAATGAGAGGATCACCTCAACCCAATCAGAAGCTGAGCTGGATTGAGGCTGGAATACAGTTTTAGTGTAAGTCAGTTCATCTTTGGTTCATCACTATTTCTTGGTCATGGCACTTCCAGGCTTTTTAATGAGAACCTGGCAGGTCTGTGTCTCCTCAGCCTTGAAAGACTGCAAGAGATTCAGCACTGCCCTTTGGCAATTCAAGTCCCATGCTACATACCTTCAGAATTTTATAATGTCTTGAGAAAGAGGTAGTTGTGTGTTGTAGAAGGCCCTCTTTCTCTCCAATGGAATCTTGTTTCCTAAACACCACAAGACTGAAAAAGATATCTTTCTACCTTTTTGGCACAGCCCCCTACTTCCTACACAATCAGCTAATGTCATGTGGTAAAACTGCCCTTGTGCTTGGGACTCCTCTAGTTTTCAATCCATCAGGTAAGCCCTAAACAACTGCCTTAGCATCTTCTTGTATCTCTTTCCTCCAGGAGAATTCCTTTGCTTGGGCCAAGTCTGCTCCTTAGCCTGTGCCTAGAATCAGCAAATATCTCCCAGGAAGAAAATGGCTGGTGATCATCAGCTCATCAATGTAGAGTTCAAATCTTTCTGGGTAGAATTTTGGTTCATCAAGTTCTCATTACTTCCATAGTTTTCCCACCTTTAACAATATGCTTTTTGAACTTTATGTGTTTTTTTTTCAAGCTGTAACAGGAGTTTGGCTTGCTGTGACCTATTACATCTTACTTAGAATGGAAAGACCTTAATAACTATTTGGGAACAATCAACCTATATCTTAAGGAATTCAAAATATAGAGACTAATGGACTAATTACATGACAAAGTTAAGGAAAATGTGTACCTGTGAGGGCATCACAACTGGCAGTACGATTACTGCACTGGCAGGGTAAGCAGCCACTCTTACTGAAGCCATAGTATCCATCTTGGCATTGGTTACATGTAGAGCCGGTGACACCCACTTTGCACTGGCATTTTCCAGAACTGCAAATAAAAGACAATGAACAAAGGTAAATCAATTTGAAATTTTTACTGCCTAACATTCCATCATAGATGATCTTAATGTAGCAAATAGTTTTAACTAGATTTCAGTTACTAGAAATATTAAGAGTAATATTTATTTTGAACTCGAAGTTGAAAAGCAACACAGCTATATAAATTCAGTTAACATGGTACTAATACTAGTAATTTGTGACAACTTAATCCTCTGCATTGGGTAGTTTAAGAAAAACTATAAAGGAGTCATGGAGAAAATAAGTCCCCAGTGCTTAGAAATCTTTGTTTACCAAGCACTAGGGCATAGAACTGGTATCACTGATATCTCTCATTCCTGGATCATCCCACAGTTCCATTAGCATCCACCTTGCCCAATCTGGAGATGAGAAGAAACACCACCTAGCCTTCATCCAGCCTAACTTCTGCCTGAAGAATATGAAGACCAAGATCTTGATGAATGTTTTAACTAGTATCCATTCAGATGCTAGGAAGTTAATATAATTCTCTACTTTGTATCTAGGTTGTATTAAGATCACATTTCTGGTAATAATGTTAGAATTTACAATTAAGTAAATATGACTATAATGGGGACCTCTATTACTTTCTGAAGTAAATTCTACAAAAATTCTAGATTGTTAACCTAAAAAGAAGAAATCCATAGTAAGAAAAATATTTGATTTAGTATTCCATCTCTTCCTATTAGCCTATTTTCTTTTCTTGTATCCATTATATCAATGCTACTATCTCCAATCATTGAAACTTGAAACTTGGGTATCATTATCAACTCCTCTCTTTATTCCCTTCTCTTATCATCACCAAGTTGTATCCAATATATCCCCAATTTCTGTCAAATTTTCTTTCAAAATGTCTCTTGGTATTGTTATTTCTACAATCATTCCTCTTAGAATGTCTTTCCTCCTTGTCGCCTTGGAAAAATTTTCCTGCTTTCAAGGCTTATCTTTTTACATGAAATCTCTCCCTAACTGGTGCACAGTGATCTTTTGGCTTCCTGACATCACATTTTCTATACTATACATTTTTATCTTAATTATGGTCTGGTCTGTATTCTTTCATATCTACTTAAACTATAAAGGACTTGAGGCAAAGGCCATATCGTGCAGTTTTCTTATTATTCTTAAGACCTAGCACAAGCCTAGGGATAGTGTACTATAATTACCTGTACTCACGTCATATACCAGCTAGTACATTCTCTGAGTCCAGGGACTGTATTTTAGCCATCTTGATATCCTCAGATATTACTATAATTCCTGGTTAATTGTAATCATTTAATAAATGCTCAATAAATACAAAAACTGAATTGAAGAGTTAAGCAATGAGAGGGAAAAAGGAAGATGAAAGGCAACACCAATTACTAGGGTACTTCTTGTTGTTAGGTGTTGTTGAGTCAGTTCTGACTCATAGCAACCCTATATATAACAGAACAAAACACTGCCCAGTCCTACACCATCCTCACAATTGTTATGATTGAGCCCATTGTTTCAGCCACTGTATCAATCCATCTCATTGAGGGTCTTCTTTTTCGGGCTTCTCCTTTACTAAGCATGATGTCCTTCTCCAGGGACTGATCCCGCCTGATAACATGTCCAAAGTATGTAAGATGTAGTCTCACCATCCTTGCTTCTAAGGAGCATACTGGTTGTACTTCTTCCAAGACAGATTTGTTCGTTCTTTCGGCAGTCCATAGTATATTCAATATTCTTCTCCAACACCACAATTCAAAGGCATCAATTCTTCTTCTGTCTTCCTTATTCATTGTCCAGCTTTCACATGCATATGAGGTGACTGAAAATACCATGGCTTGAGTCTGGTACACCTGAGTTTTCAAAGTGACATCTTTGCTTTTTAACACTTTAAAGAGGTCTTTTCCAGCAGATTTGCCCAATGCAATGCGTCATTTGATTTCTTGACTGCTGCTTCCATGGGTGTTGATTGTGGAGCCAAGTAAAATAAAATCCTTGACAACTTCAGTCTTTTCTCCATTTATCATAATGTTGCTTACTGGTCCAGTTGTGAGGATTTTTGTTTTTTTATGTTGAGGTGTAATCCATACTGAAGGCTGTCGTTGATCTTCATTAGGAAGTGCTTTAAGTCCTCTTCACTTTCAGCAAGCAAGGTTGTGTCATCTGCATAACACAGGTTATGAGCCTTCCTTCAATCCCAAAGCCGCATTCTTCTTCATATAGTCCAGCTTCTCGGATTATTTGCTCAGCATACAGACTGAATAGGTATGGTGAAAGGATACTACCCTGATGCACACTTTTCCTTACTTTAAACCACACAATATCCCCTTGTTCTGTTTGAACAACTGCCTCTTCATCCATGTACAGGTTCCTAGACTACTTAGAGTACTCAGAACATCTAAAATACTTTCCCCTGTTTCCAGAATTATATGTTCATTTTAGACCTCAACATTTTAGACTTTATCTGAGTAGATTTTGGCACCAGTCATACTGGACAGAAGACGATTTAAGGTAGAATTGCCTTCCAATTTATTTTTTTTTTAGAGATTCAGCTCCTAATAATAAGTCCCTATAGGGATGTTAATTTTAGTTCAGAAGCCCAAACTAAGATTCCTAATACTTACACAGCTCTTACATATACCAGTTAAAGTAATCCCTTCCTATTTCCCGTGCTCCTAGTTCTGTAATAAAAATAGAAGTCTTGTTCTAAACTTGAGAGTTATTGGAACTCTAGATTGAATTTTGCAGAATGGAAGTAAAGCAACTCTCAGCCACATGTGTTCTACTTGCAGTCGGCAAACCTAAGGATTTTTTCTGATTATCTGAGGTGTGCCTTTCTGTTCACCAGCATCCCCTGGGCTAAATAATGAGGCTTTGCCCTTTATTCCTATAAGACTATTTCAAGCAACTAGAGTTGAACTTTATTTTTGTCTCCCACTTATCCTGTTCTCTGCAACATCCCAGCGTATGTCAAAAAGGAACAGAAAAGTAGAAAAAACAGTTCTACATGAAATATTCTTAGGGCTTTGCTCAAGTAAAAACAGTTTAGGAAGGAGAGAAAGCAGGGCACATGTAAATAATACATACTTACCATATCCCAAAGCCTTGTATCCTAAGAAATCGCCTATCAAACTCTAGATTTCTATCGTGAAACTTCCTAGTATATTGGGTTAATTTCTTGGATAACAAATAGTTTACAGAAAAAATAAAATGTAGTAATTTGAAAGCAGGAATAATAATAGTATAATAATAATAACAATAAGCCATCATTTATTGAGGGTCTATATTAATAAATACATCTTTTCTCTAATCCTCAAGATAACTCTACTAGGCAGATGTCTCTTAAGTAACTTTGAAAAAAAATAAAAATGAAACAAGAGCAACAAAACAAAACAGTGTTATACAAGAATACTCTGAGGTACTTAAAGGTCTAGCAAAGCAAATCTGTGTTGATCAAACATTAAGTTCAGGAATATCTTATGAGTCAACAAGAAGAAAGCAGTCAATTTAAGTCCCTCTACACTACCAGAAAATTACAAAGGATATAATATACCTTCAAAAAATGGCTAACAACACTTCAGGAGCCAATTTCTAAGGCTTTTAAAATGTTAATCAAAACATGCTTGCTCCTTATTCCTCTAAAGACATTAGATTACTTGGTATACAAAAGGATAAACTTAGTTACTTTTAAGGATATTTGCCCAACCCATCATCTACAAGAAAAAGGTATTACCTTAGAATAAATAATCACTTAAAAATATCTCATAACTATAATATAGCCAGTGTTCTCAAAGTAGATGCTATTCCTGTAACGGGGCTTTCCTTTCATAATCTGCTCTGGGCACTCAGATGACTTATTTAAGCAGGCATCCTTCTCCCTGAAGAAGCTGTTCATTAATTGCCGATTTAAAAGAAAAATCCATGAGTGGCTTTACGAGTCATGATAAAGTTGTTGACTAGTATAGATACCACACTTCACTTTTTCCTGGATAGATTTTAAAATAACAGGAAAGGATGCATTTTTCTCTCTTTAAAAACTAAAAAAAGGAATGTAGTGGGAAGTTTGGTTGTGAGGCTGCACTAGTAGTGCTTTTCTACCATGTTACTTGTGGCCAGCAGCCAAGTTCTGCATGTACTAGAATTAAATCACTTGGCAGACATAAAGCTTTGCCTGTGTGACTTCTTTTATAGACTAAAGCCTTTACAACACCCCCTTTCAGGGCCTCCCTCTGTTAAAGACTGTTAAATGCTTTTTGAAGCAAAGGTCAATGACATAAATGCAATGAAACAAACAAAAAGTTCTATTAACAGACCATTTGTTCTTATAATACAAATCCATAGGTTTGAAATAAAAGAAAAGACCCACAGCTTTATATATGGAGAATAAGAGTACAGAATTGGATTTTGAGTAGGAATCAGAAAGTCATACTATTGAGATCAACTAACAAAGAATTTAAGATAAAATCTGCTCATCTGGCATCACTTATAGACATGAGTTACTACTAGTAAGTACTAATGTAGTATAGAGAATTATATCAGAAAGAATATAGAATTATTTACAAAGGAAGCATAAGCATTGTGTAACTAAGCTGAAGTAAGTATATCTAAGCATATACTGACGTTTCTTAAATTATCCCAATGGGAGTCTCAGATTTTCTTATGGCATCAATGCTTGGTTATAGAATTTATCATATTCATAGATGTGAACAACTATTACAAAGTTTTAACACTTTCGAAAATTATCTCTTAAAATGTATATAAACAAATAATATATTTTCCAACATGAATAGTTACTAATTTTTCAAAAGGAAATTCAATAACATATGACCTCAAGATTTGGTACATATTTATGTCACACAAAAGTCTTTTTAAAGGTTCCGTTCTGTTTAGGATGAGTGGGTGGAGAATCTTCAGAATTTCCATTATTTTATAATCACATTGATTAGGGAGAGAAGAGTGGAATACAGGAAGGGAGGTATCAGGGTACATGGAAAAAAACAGCCTACA